GGACAGTCGTGCACTTACAGCGCTAAAAATAGCAGTAGCTCAGCTGTTTTCACATCTCACATCAAAGTTGAAGCGTAGCGGAGCTCTCTGCCGCTGTCTGAAATGAAGCTACTCAAAGCAGACACCAGCCGACACACAAACGTGTATTCGAGGTAGTCTACTGTATCTACTTCTGTGTGTGGGTGACATCACTGTCTAATCCTTCAGTTGATGCCTATGACATCCCTGCTCCTGGGAGTATGAGTTCACCTAACGGGACAAGAGGTTCACAATAAATAAGGACATATAGTAGAGAAGCTGAAACTATCATTAGGGGAGAATGGGGCAAGTTGAGCCAGTGGTTGTTGACCAACCTTCTGTTTCCAGGCAACTGTGCATATTTGTTGTCAACTGACCATACTTAAAGGAAGCACACATCATTTATATCCGGCTACAATGGAGAGAGAGACATGGGTATGTTCTTACTATTATTTACTCACTATTACACGATTGTTTTGGCTGTCACAGAAACATTTCAGCATATTTCATGACCAGTATTTATCTGGGTCAGTCACACCAAGGGCTCAATTTAAATGGTTGCTGCCAAAGTAAATTGTGTTGCATTCGACATGCAGTAACAATCAAGTATCATCAATAAATTCTGCTAACACTGAGCTGTTTGTTTTGACTCTTCACACAGAATCCATTATTTGTTGGAAAGACTGAGTTCTGAGATCTAATGCTTCAGATGCCGTGACGACGCCCAGCTTCATTCAGCTGCATGCTTCCGAGTATGCCATTGTTCACTTGTCAACAAGGAAATGGAGTGCAGAGGACACAGATATCCATCAATATTTCTGCATCACTCTACATTTCTATTCAACATCCTGCAGCTCTGAATTGAGCTGTGGAGTCTGAAAAGGGCGAGCATGTGAGGATGAATGAATTCGGTCGCTCTCAAAAAACACACACAGGTTGATATAACAAGACTTTCTTCTTTAATGAAGGCAATTTGAAAAAAAATAGATTGTCCTTGGTTAGCGTATTAGACTTTTGTTTGTGAGGAATTTCATCAATCTGAATCATAATGAGCACAATAATTATCTCAAACATTATCCAATTTTTTGTTTGTTAATGGTGTCAGAGCAGAGATCTTTTCCACAGCTGAGGAAGAGGTTAGTTTGATTTTATATTAGGGAATAAATGCTGTTAAAAGGTTTCATCAGGGTGTCCACACTCTGAGGCTGAATGCTATGCCAGTGCAGAGCTCACCTGCTTATCAGACATGTTTTGCCCCTTGATATTTTAAGCTTCAGCCTTCTTAACCTATCTCAGTGTTGGTTATAGCATTAATCTGTCATTGCCTACCATGTTTGTTGTCTGTTTCCAGTTTTCATATTGCTGAAAGACATTTTTCTGGACTACAAAAGTTAACTATTGTGGCAGCAACTAGCTCCTAAATAGGGATTTACAGCTTTGATAACAAAAGAGAAGAGACATTGGTCCATGTTGGGTGATATTTGCCAGCGAGTTATATGAACATCGGGGTTGGACAGCTGGCAGATATCATGTTGGATTGCCTGTGGAGGTACAGCTGAAATGTTGACAGAAGCCGACTGTTGTGTAATAGTTGCCTGAGAGAAGTGAAGCTGCCAGTGGAATGAGACGAGTACACCAGAAGTATATTGACCTGCAGAAGGCTTTTGAAACTATACATCACGGACCACTATTGAGGAAATTGGAAAAGTACAGTATACAAGGTGTTGCTTACTCTTGGCTGGAAAACTGTTTAGAAGACAGCAGTGTGTACAAATGAATGATGCTGTGTCAGGACAAAAATGGGTTTGATGTTCAGAAATAGTCTCCTAATATTAAATGGTAAATGGACATGAGCTTGTATAGTGCTTTAAGTCTCTGGTCTTCTGACTACTCAAAGCGCATTACACCCCAGGTCACACCTACCCATTCTCACCCATTCACACATTGATGGCAGAGGCTGCTATGTAAAGTGTCCATCAGTATAAACAAATCCCATCCATTCACATGCACCTGCCGACGAAGCAGGTGCAGGTAACTTGGGGTGATGTGTCTGTGGGTTCTTTTTTTAAACAAAAACATGGAAAAATCAGGGCACTCTTCTGAAGAAAACAGACAAAAGAAAGGCTTCCTTAAATTGGCTTTTTCATCAAATAGGAATCATTAAAAAGCTGGGTTTTCATCGTGTGCCTTGTTTTTCAAATTTCTATGATGAAATAGCCAATTTAATAAAAGCTTTGTTTTTTGTTTTTCTATCTTTTTTAATTTTTGTCGTAAGATTTTTCAGACAAAATGCCTTGTGGTTGTGATTGATCATAAATTAATGTGGAAGCAGCATACTGACTATATCAAAGTAGAATTTTAAGTCAATAGCAATCCTGAATGAATCTAGAAATGTATTAAATTATGACTTTGCATATAATCTACTGCTCACTTATTGTTCCTCATCTTACTGAGTGGAATTGAGGGGCTCTATCTTAAGAAGAATTATAAATCCAATGGTCATACTGCAAAAAAGAGTTGTGCATATTATTAATAAGACTGATGATTATTCACACACTATTCTAGTTTTTGGAAATTCAATTTCTATGAAATTTAATGATTTTTTCTTATTATTAAATAATGCAAATAATGTTCAGATTAAAACCAAAGTTACATCCAAACTCTACCATGCTTTTCGAACACTTATATTTGTCTGTGAATAAAACCCCCCATAATGAGAAAAGTCCATCCTCGCCATCTTTTACTTGCTCAACATTTCAGAAATTGTGTGCTCAAACAGACGGAATTTTTCCTTCATGACATCACGTAGGGCAGTAACCACTCCCCCAGGTGGGTGTCACCCCCACAGTTCTGCCCTCTGAGTCTGCCTTCTCACTGTAAACAATCGGGCCTGGTGCAAAAAGCAGGGGCCATCGCAGCCCTTCCAGAAAGGGGCGTGGTCAGACACAGCTCATTTACATTTAAAGCTACAGACACATTCTGATTCTGAGCAGGGCTGAAATAGAGGGGTTTATAAAGATGATCAAATACAGGATCCGAGTGGATTTTTAACAAGAAACTTCACAGACATGTTTTGGGGGAGCTCTGAGATTTATTTAACCTAAAAAAAAAGGAGGATATTATGTGACCTTTAAATCATGACATTTCTTTCAACTATTTATAGGAATGATTATTGTATTATGTATGATGAATGAATAAAAGATACTACTACTATGTAAAGTAATACCTGTCAGTGTGGAAGACATCCTATACCAGAAGACATCAGACTCACAGTCAGGAATTATACTGTTTGTTTTACAGCATCGCATCAATATCATTATAAATCATCTTGATGCCAAAGTGCATTTTAATATGTTTAATTGGCATAGCGAGAAATCACAGCAGCTCAAGTTTGCTTGTCTGAAGGTTTAATCTTTCAGAGGATTTGCTGTATCTTTATCAAGCACAGTCTGCAAAATTGATTTCCTATACGGGATGTTTTCAGAAATATTAGAAATGTGACAATTGATTGACACAATCTTCCAACTCATCAGTCATCTTGATCCTGTTTAATACAAAAAGCTCAATACTGTATCTACAAGCTCTAGCCGTTGTGCAATCTGCTGCAAAGTTCCCTGCCAATATTTCCAACAATGATGGTAATTTGTCACAACAGATCAAAGTGACAGCGGTTAGTTACCACCCAGTCTTATCGCTGAATTGTTCCCATTTGAGTTGTTGTTGCGGAAGAACTCTAAATGAAGCTAATAAAGGGAAGAAATATACAGATTTCTATTTCAAGACATCCTCTTTTTAACTGTGAGGAAAAACTAATCTAACTCATCCATTATAATTGGTGTTTCTGCGGCAGCTATTTCTGACTGACTGAATAACATTATTTGGAAGTTTCTTCTGTGTTTTTGAAGTGTTTCTCCACTTTTTCCAAAAGTTTCCATAAAAGACTACGACCAGCTTATTGTAACTACAATGTTAAAAAGACTGTTTAAGATGATTATACGACTGTTTGAAAAAACCATGATACTTTTGCAATGACTCTCTAAGCCTGACATTTATGAACCGTTTAGTCTCATAAGGTTGAAGAATATAAATATGTACAAGAAAGTGAGCCTGTTACTGGTTCATGTGTTCAACACGATTTTCAAGTTTCTTGAATATATACTTGGAAGAGTAAAGTTTACTTAGAAGATAACGGGTACTGATATCAGTACAGATATTTTGTTGTTTTCTTTCTGTTGTCATTGAACAAACATTCATTACGGTATTTAAGATCACCCATTACATCACTAAATCTATAATCAAATTCTGCACACCTGTGTGAATTATATATTGTGTTAATGGAACAAAAATGACAAGGCACTTTCTGACACTATATGGCAATATACCGAATTAAGCAATATTTATGATATTTTCACACATCATATATACATATCTATACATATCATATATACACATCTAACACCTTAATACTCATAATAATATCATATCTTTCTAAAAAGTCACTTACTGCATATACTGTGTATATATATATATATTGCTAATTTTGCATAAATTTCTGTAATCTCTTGGTGTAGATAATTGTCAATGAATTATTTTAGTACGAAGCCAAAGTTCTGCTGCTGATTTAAAACACCTAGTTAATACCTAAATTTACTACTTCAGATTTTCAGTTTGCAGCTTTGTGATCGATTGAGTTTTATCCTGAGATAATCTGCTGCTGCAGTGGTTTCAGAGAGCTCACAGGAGTAATTGAAGTTACTAAGTATTCTGTTGCCTAATGACTTTAATGTGAGTTAGTTTTGGTGAACAGAAGTCAGCTGGGGCCAGTCAACAAACCAAAATGACAAAAAGATTAGTTTCTAAAAGTGTGAGTGAAAAGTTAATGAGAGGGATGTGTCTGATGTGTCACAGTTCACTATCAGTAAGTCAACTTGCTCGGTCCTTTATTCATGCATGATTGTCGGGCATTTTTCTTTTGGACTTACCTGCAGTAGTCAGACAGAGCTCCTCGTCACTGTTGTCCTGGCAGTTGTCTTGGCCGTTACACAAGAAGCTGCGGTCCACACAGTGGCCGTTTCTACACTTGAAGCGGGCTTCAGAGCAAACCAACGGGTTACCTGCTGGGGTTAAGTCAGGGCAGAAGTAGAGGATCAGGTTTAGTACATTTTTTGTCACAACACTTTCATAAAGTTAAATATAACCATGGTTTGAACATTGTCATTGGGGACTAATAGAGATGAATGAAACATTTACTGTAAAACAGTGTGACTTTGTAGAATATTTGATTCTGATAAAAGTCAAACTGGAACTCTACAGAAAAGAAAGAAATGACTGTCCAGAGAAATCACTGGTTTTTAGCACACATTATGGTTTTGTCCTGGTCTGGCTTCTGCAAAAATGAGCCAGAATTATCTTGTGAGAAGATCCAGACCATTGCACAGTAGTGACGCAGTCTCTGCTGAGAGTGGGGAGCAAAGCTCCATTTAAATGGCTAAATTAGATTTGTGAGTGTGCTGCCCCGCAGGCTAGAAACACTGCTCTGACTGCGGTGAGTGACTGGCTTGATGCACAATCCCCACTGGGCAGGCAGGGATGAGATCATGTAAGGACAAACAGAAGCCTGATAATACAGACCACACCTGGATCATAATGTTTCAGTTTTTCAGTCTTTGAATTCACCAAAAGGTGTTTATTAACCTTAAAAGTTAAAATAATATGCTACCTTAGCCATTTGTTCAGTGGTTCTATTACTATGACCTCTTCTCAATGAAGTTTCACTTATTAAGTGTAGAGTACAGCCAAAGCTCCACCTGCAACTTCTTGTTTGAGCTCTTGCTGTGTAGATAATGCTCCCATAATTCAAACTCCACATCATGAGCCTTTTAGTGATTAATTCATACTTATTGAACCCCTAAGTTTGTAATTAAAGCTTTCAGCAACCCATTATTGTCTCCATACCCTGACATAGTGCTGATTACCTCATTATTACATTATCAGGGTAGAAAAAGCACCTCTGGAGTAAAAAAAAAACCCTCCTTTTCTCTAATTATATTCTATTTCTTTCGATTTTGATGGTGTCCTACTCTACTCAGTCTACCCCTGGCTACGTGAACAGTACATAAGCGTCTGAATAAACTTGACTAGGGGACAGTACATCATTGAGAAAGACCCTGACGTGTGGTGGCCGTGGCAGGAGACAAGAGTGCTATTAAAGGAATTAGTTGTCGTGACTCACTGCAGTTCTCTTCGTCACTCCCGTCAGGACAGTCGCTGAAGCCGTTACAGCGGAAGCGTCCAATGATGCAGTGGACTCCGTTAGCACAGGCGAAAAACGTCGGGGCACATTTTGACTTGACCTTGGCTAAGGACAGAGGGAGGGTTGAGGGAGGAGGTGGGAAAAAAAAAAATATATTAGTCCATGGATGATTTGTAGAAGGGCAGCAATTTTCAATGTAGGGTATAATAACATTTTTTATGACAGAGTAGGCCTTGGCTGTGATGCACCAGGGAAGGGACCCAACAATATATCAAAGGTTCCTCAGTCAGAAACACACTGTACGTTTTTAAACAGTAAATCTGATGATTTGCTGAAGAGAACAGTTAATTAAGCATCTCATTTTGCTCTATTATGCTTCTAATCTTCACATTTTCTGGAGTGTGACAGAAAAGGGTGAGATCCCGGGCACAAAGTCCTGATAGGAGAAGAACCAAGTTAATGACAAAGACAAAGAGAGCAAATCGTGTGGGAGAGTGTTTGTATGGATTCCGCCATTGATCAGCCTTAAGCAGACCACGGGTCTTATCTCCCAGGACAGGCCTGAGACTGAGTGACGAGCCCGCAGAACATCAATGCTCGGTATCCTCCGTTTAGCACTTTACCCTTTGTTTTAACTCCAACACATTGATCTTTCCAAGCAGAGCCAGAAAAACAAGATAGCAGGTGGATGGAAGTAAAGACATCAGTAAATCAAGGACCTTGCTCGAGGTCAATAAATACAAAGTCAGAATTTTAAAACCTGATGGTAACAAAAAAAAAGCCATCGGGATTTACACTATTGAGCCACAACTGTGTGAAATACAGTATCTTCCCACACCTCTACTTCTGTGCCTTGGTCTTTGTAAATCTACTCATGGATTATTCCCTTACAGTAATTTGCATGATAATGCAAAGCCCAAACTTGTAAGTTTGTCTTCATATGAGATCTACTGCTGTTGTGAACAGCTGTAATTGGTAGCTTTGTCTTCCTCTAAGACTTTACTATACTTGTTAAATAAGACTACAAGTTAATACCAGTGAGGAAACAGCATGATCAGCATTTTTAATACTACAGAACAACAAAAGGATGGAACAACCCACACATAGCAAGGGCGAGAGAAAGAGAGCGAACATCTCAAAGCTAGCCACCAACAGTCTTTCTGGATTTTTTTTTTTCTGTCTTCTGAATACAAAGAGTGGAATTGGCCTGCTCGTAGGTTGGCATTCTGCCGCCTCAAATGCCAGGGGCGCACATTTTTCCCTCTACAATATATTGTGGTAGGCTGATTTATGAGCTCTTTCAAGCTGTGGTGATTATGTGTAGAGAAAGAGAGGGGGGGGGGGGGGCATAACAACCACCAGGGTTTGGAGCGCCGGTCTCCAGGATGAAATGTAATCCGCTGAATGCGGGAGGAAGCTGGGATAGAGCCCGATCTCTGCGTCTGTAGTCTGGGAAGCCTTTGTTTACCTGGACAGCAGAGGCCCTTACCACCCAAAGCTCATTTAACACGGCATATCACACTCATTAGAGTCCAGGGAGGGAAAGCAGACATGGCTCTGAGCTGCAGCGACACATAAAAGACAAGATACAAAAAAACATGCTGCTGTGAAGGAGGAATTTTTAATTCATCAAGCCACAAAAAAGACAACACAATCCTTCATTTTTTAGTTCTTTTTCTATTTTACATGAATTATCTTTATTTGTTGTCTTGATTTGGTCTCTTTACATGGAAAATTCACAAAACGTCTTTTTTTTCATTTTAATATGCAGGCTTGGAAAGACTGCTCTGCTATTCCTCAATCCCTTTCTCCCTCCCCTCATCACCACTTCTACTGGTTGGCACGATTCATATGACCCAGTGTTTGTGTTCCAAATTAGCTCAAAAGTCACATGAAGGGCAAGATCATGAAGGGGAATTCGTGGGTGGGAGAGACAGCGCTGGTTGGTGAGGATAGAGCTAATGTGCTTAGTTGTTTTTGAGGGGATACACAGCCCTTTATAGCTGAGAGCCGAGCAGTTTCAGAGCAAGAAGGGGAAAAAAATTAATTAGAAGACCCAAATTGAGGGTGGAATAGAGGGTAAAGCTAAAAATTGCCTCACAAAAGGCATTAGTCCTGTTCTTTGGAAGAGTTAGGTCTAAAGCCAGAGAACCTGTGATATTACTATCTTGTGAACTGTAAAACATACAACCGGTACAAGTTAATTAAATGCTTAAATAACAAGTGACAAGGTCAAACATCAACTTGAAAACTGTTTGGACACCAAGTCCTGTAAGTCCTATAAAATAAGAGTAACAGACTGTGTCCAAAATACTTTCACACTATTCATACTGATTATACTGCATGACGGCAAAGTGAATAAGAAGTGCGTTCCAAAGACATTTTAAGTTATAGAGATTAACACAAGACACTTGTGCCCTAATGAAAGGATACGTGCTCAGTGAAGTACGCCCCTAATATCCCCTCTTGGGATTAAGTTTTATCTTGTACAATATACTGATGAATGACATAACCTACCATATGGCCCATAGTTGCCAGAGTACGATCTACGCATGGTGAAGATCGTACTCTGGAACCAGGTGAAGTTTGAGAAATCTCATGGCGCTAATAACACGCTGGATACTGAGATCGTCCCAAAGTTTGACACTATGGAGGAGGAGACTCACATCCTTATTGCGGTGGGCTTTCTGCTTTACACCTACGAACCTTTGATCGAAGTGCTGAACAAACTTTATTTCCATCCTGTACGATGAATGCAAAAAGAGGAGGTGCTCTAGGAACTACATGGACTACAACCAGAATTGCCACCTTCAACAAAGCAAGGCTCTGCTACTAGGCAGTGACTATGCTAATACTACCTACCCTACCTACCCTACCCCACAATGCATTGTGGAATGCATCTTGGTTTTTGAACTGCTTTTAGCTCCAAGCCAAATGTTCTTCCTCTTCTCTAAGCTTGTGTAGAAGTTGTTTAAAAGCCGGCAGGCTGTTGGACAGCTTCCAATTGAGGTTCCAGTGTTCAGCTGAGCAGCACAAATGAAAACGAATGGGGTTAGCGTTCAGGCTGATTCCTTCAGGTAAGACTATCACTAGCAGAAAAACATGGCTAGATCACAATGAAACACAAAGTTGGAGGACATACTTACGAAAGCATAGAAGCAAGCACACACACACACACACACACATAAACATGCCATCCCTCTATGTTTACTGTCTTCGTTTTAATTAAAGAACCCACACTCAGGTTTTTATTTTTGACATCTGACTAAAACTTCCCCCAGGAGAACAGCTTTAATTGAAAATACTGTTTGGTACTTTCTGTAAACACCCAGACTTAGACTAAGATACAACTCCAAAAAACATTTCTAAAAAAAAAAATCAAGTTCAAGTCAAGGCCAGGGAGTGTAGCACCATGGCATGTCTTGGGTTTTTGAGTAAATCATTTGAAAGTCTACACTGTGTTGCATCTGAATACTACTGTTTGTATCTTAATTCCTGTCTCTATCTCCCCCAGCAGCATTCATGTCAGCCAACAGCATGACTCCTGCAGATCCAGCATGCTTTGCTCCTCCCCTTGTAAGCACCTCTATGCCCCTCTCCACACTTCTCAACTTTTCTCCGTCTCCTCGGTTCCCCAGAGATCGGAATATCTTGTTCGGCTCTCAGGTAGGCTCGGTCGTGATGGGCATGCATGATTGACAGAGTGTGGAGGAAACACTGGAGGAAGAGACCAATAAGAGAGAAAAACAGCAAAGAATGAGCAAAGGCCGAGGCAGAGTAGAGGCAGCTGACGACTTCAAAGGTTCCTCTGACCTTGCTGAGCACTTCTGAGGGGAGGAAATCAATAGGTAATGGAGTCAGGGTGTAAGCAAGGAGGGCGAAGGTGGATTCAGTCTGGAGGGCTTGGGGATCAGAATAATCATTCTGTAAGTTTCACTGTCTGAGCCCTGCATGGTAGTGTAACAATACAATAACCTGTGTGCAGGGGGAGGCATTACTAAATCAAAGGCCTCCCTTCAGTGGCATTCTGCGAAACTATCAAACTTCACGCTAGATGACGAAGCAAGTGTGGCTAGTATACTCAGCAGTAGGCTCATGTGCAAAAATATCAGTCATATTCCAACATCTCCCGATAAAAGGAGAAAGAGGCAAGGGCATGTAGTGAAAAAGCAGTGAGAGATCTGTCAGATAATAACCCTGCTGCAATATTCATCATAGGAAGCTTCTAGCTGCTCAAATTGCCTTGTTTGAACTGGTAGTGCCCAACATTGTATTATAAAATGACAAGGCAGCATTTCATATTCCTTTGAAGATTTCCAAGCAATCATTTTTTATCTAATTTGTGACTATCGACCAGGCAAGGATAGCATTCTTTCAAAATGAGGGGAAAAGGAAGCGCAGGAGATAGAATCAGAGACTGTATGTACGACCCTACTAAATATTTCATCCCTTTTCCTTGGTATTAATTACACCTGCTTGAGGATCACTCAAGCATTAAGCACATGGGTTGCACCAGACGCAATCCCATTAAACTAATCTCTGCTTCCTCACTACTCCTGCTATGGATGATCTTTAAATTTTTCTTTTATTGTCCATATGACCAGTACATATTTGTCCTGACCTGGGATCAAACAGTGGATGAAAAATATAGTAGTCGAGAAGAGCTCCAAACTTCTCCTTTCCCATCCGCTTGTTCTTCCCAGATGTCCTCCCTGGTGAGTAAAACAAGCTGGCACACAAATACACGCTCAGATGGAAGAACACCTACGTCAGTGAAGCACAATCTTTGTCAGTGGTATATGGCTCTGGAGTCAGTCATTGGTCAATGTTCTTATCGCATAAAAACACACTCCTAATCTAAGCGACTTCTGTCAAAGTGGAGTTGAGATCATATCCAATCAGTCTCATGAGTCCTTTTAGCTGTTTCCACTCCTGCTGTCAAGGATAACTTTGTTGTAGATAAGCATTTACTCTTTTGAACTCAATACCCCGTGGGCATTTTTTTGGAGGTCAGAACATGCAAAAAAAACAACAACACAAAAATGAAGCCCCATTGATGTTTCTCCAGGCGTTGGCTGTGATATGACTGCACAAAGCAATAATGT